TTGGGTTCAATCCCTAGCACTGCATAAAAAGGAAAGGGGTCTGTTTAGCTCACAGTTCTGGTGGTCTAAGATCCAGGGGACACATTCGGGGACTGCCTTCTCGCAGCAGAGTTCTAAGGCAGCGTAGGGCACTATGCAGCAAGACAGGGAGTGTGCGTGTGTGTCCTCCAGTCTTCCTGCATGTCCTATGTTCCTCAAATGTCACCAGGACTCCTCCTCCAGGCCCCACCTCTGAAACCTCCCAGGGGGGCTCAGTCTCAACACAGGACACACACAGAGGGTGGTCCTCACACCACGAGACAGATGAGACAGACAGGGCCCAGGCACTGCTGGAGTCAGGAGGGAGTCCAGTCACACGGCTCCCCAGGGTGGAGGTCCCTGCGCCCAGAGCCTGGGGACATGGGGCTGCAGGCTGCACTTGGGCACGGCCCACTCCTGCTATGGGCTCTCCGACCCTTACTCCAAGCACCTGGCACCATGAGCCCCCTGAGCTTCCTGGCCAGGTGTCCACCAGGAGCTGATGGGAGCTGGGGACAGGTATGGCTGGAGTGGGAAGCAGTGCCCTCGCCACTATCTCATGAGCCAGTGAGGTCCCTCTGTGGGCAGCATGGCACACCCAGTGTGGCAGCAAGGCAGAGGCCCTCAGAAAGCCTGGCCAGCCTGCAGCTGGCCTCCTGGATGCCGGTTCTCTCTGAAGCCCGTGCTGGGGGCTCTGCAATGCCAGGGCAGCGGAGTCCCAACTCCCAGGTGCAGCCTGCCTCCTCCGCTCAGCACCCCAAGCCAGCGTCACAACTGCCACTCACACCAGGCAGGCCACCGCCCCAGCTTTGCAGAGTAGGCCACTCAAATGTGCTGGGGCCCAGGGAAGTCCTGCTTCTAAGAGGCCAGAGAAGTGCCCCCTGGTGGAGGAGAGGGCAGAGTGCCACTGTGCAGCCACTGCTTTGGAGCCTTGGAGGAAACCATGAAGTGGGAATTAGAACCCAGAGATGTGCCCGGACTTCAGCCCAGGATGCCACAAAGTCCTCAAGCACAGCCGCCAAGCTGAGGGCCAGGGTGAGGCCTGCCCACGCACTGGGCTCTCCCCTGCTGCAACCATCACACCATGCACACCCCAGAACCCCGCAGACACATAAAGGGCCACGTCACTTTACAAACTGAAGCTGGGAGCAGGGGAGTGTGCCCATGATCCTAGAGCCTCGGGGTTGAGCCAGGGGGCCAAAGTTCAAGGTCAGCCTGGGCAACTTGATGAGACCCTACCTCAAAATAAAATAAAAAGGGCAGGTGCAGCTCAGTGGTAGGGGACGCTGGAGCACTATGAGGTCCTGGGTTTGATATTTATTTGAGGTACCACAAATAAATAAACACAACAAGCTAAAGAATCAACATCCCATCTCTGAAACAAAGCGGGTTCCCTTTAACGCACTCTAGCCGCGTCCTGAATGTTGGCTCTGTAAGTGCTACCACCAAGGCACGTGCTCTGCTGGGTGGGGTGCGAATGCCCCAGTTTGGGGCGTGGTTCCTCCAGGAGGCATGGCCAGTCCAGGCACCACAGAGCCATCACACACGGGGGCGGTGGGGAGGCCTGGCAGCTGCTACTTCCCATAGACAGCCTCTGTGGCTGCAAGAGTCCCCTCCTGGTCCATGGGGCTGTGCCTACAGAGCCCCTCCTGGTCCATGGAGCTCTGCCCACAGAGTTCCCTCCGGGTCCATGGGGCTGCGCCCACAGGGGCACAGTGGCCGGAGCACCCTCTGCACCAGCCGCGTGGTCAAGTGTGTTCCTCTGCTTTGACGGGTGCTGGAGGTAGTGCTGATCCTGGCTTGGCCACAGCCTGACTCTGGCTCAGTGCCATGCCGTGCCCACTCCCCAGGTGCCTGGCAGCTCTGCTCACTCGACAGTGGGAAGCCACTCTCCCTCCAGGAGCACCCACAAGTGCCATGGATGTGACCCAGGAAGACAGAGTCACATGCTGACTCTCCTTTGGGGGGCTCCAAAGTGTCCGTGGCTCCCCAGGCCCAGTGCAGGTGGACGACAGGCCAGGGGAAGGGTCCAGATGTGGTTAGAGCTGGTCATAACTGATTGTGGCCAAACCCCACGGGACTTGCCGTGTAAAACCATAGCTCTGTAAACACCGTAGAGCCAGATAGCGGAGCTTCGTTTCAGTCTCCTGCCAGAAAATAAGCCCAGGGACAGCAGAGAATGATCCTTCTATCTCCTTGCCTTCCCAGGGCTGTGACTGGGACACAGCAGGTGTCCCGTGAATGTCACATGGAATGTGTTTATGTTTTGAAGTGCTGCAAGAACCCTTGTGTTCAGCTGCCCTTCGGGGCTGCATGACCCCTCCCTGGTTGGGATCCTGTGATCTCAACTCTATTTGACCAGGTACCTCCAGGAACTGGAGCAACACTTGTCACCCACCAATCCCACAGGCAGGGTGCAGTCTGAATGTCCAGCCTTACCCACTGACTTCTGTATGCATGGCAGATGTGGATCACCCAGTCTGTGGCCTGCTGAACTGCAGTGTCCACGTAGAACACGTCAGTATCTTCTGACCAGCTAGCCCATGAACTGTCTCTCCCTGGGCATTCTTGCAAGTTCATGTTTTGATAAAAAGTTGGAAATCAACTTATCTAGGTACAGAGGAAAAGAAGAACCTTAAGCTGCTCTGTCTGACCTGTGTGTCATTCCCTTGGGTGCACCTGCCGTGGTAGGGGCTTGCCCTGAGGGTCGGCCCCTTCAGCCCTCAGCAGCACAAAGACCTCCCTCCTGGTTCTGTTGTGTTCCTCTTTAGGCCATGGTCTGGGAGTGGCCTTTGAAGCCCATGTGCTGGAAACCCAAACCCAAGGTCATGTGTTGGTGGTCTGAGGAGGGACAGGGTCAGGAGTCCCTGCTGTCACCAGGGCCCTAGCGGGTCAAGGAGGACGTAGCTTGGTTAGGAATATGCTTGCTCTGGAACACCTGTGAGGGCCATGTGAGGCCCTTCCCAAGTCATGGTGGGGCAGAAAGTCCCCACAAGAGCCCATGCTTCTGCGTTCCAGCCTCCAGAAGATGAGCCAAATAAGCTTCTATTCTGTCGCCTGCCTGTCTTCCTTCCTTTCTCTTTCCCTCCTAACCTCTATTATTTATAAGTTTCCCAGTCTGTAGTATTTTAGTTATAGCAACAGAAAATAGACTGAGAATAGGGGCATTTTAAAGAGCTCTGCGTGTGACCTTCCATCTCTTTTCAGAGGGGGTAGGTGGGCTGTCCATCTCATTGCTCAAACCTCGATGCCCCCTAACAGGTGCACAGACTGCGTTTACACAGCTGTCTCAGGACTGCTGAACTTCCTGTCACCTGGCAGTCTCATGTTCTCCAGGACAGCCCCCCACACTAAAAGCCTTCTTGTTCTTTACATGAGGACGTCTTAAGTGACCCTGCTCATGTCTCTGGACACCTCCTAGGTGATGACAGAGACACTGTCCTCCAATGGTGCACAGTGACAGTGGAGGCAGAGCCTGCCCAGTCCCAACCCACGTGTCAGGCAGGAGATCCCCCATTAGGGACATAATGGCATCTCTCGGTCCATGATTGTCGAGAAGTAGAGAGGGATGCTTTTATAGAATTTGGTCTATTTGAACCTTCTGTTGATTTTGATTTTTAAAAAATTCCTAAAAAGGGAATTAAAACTCATTTACATATAATTATGTAATATCTTGTGATTTCTTTTTTTTGTTGTTTCATTTTTTTTTCTTTTTTACCTCCAGTGTTGGAGATGGAACCCAGCCTTGCATATGTGCTCTACCACTGAATTGTACCACCAGTCCTTATAATTTTATTTTGAGGCAGGGTCTTGCTAAGCTGCTGGTCTTGCTAAGTTGTTGAGGCTGGCTTGAAATTCACCATCCTCCTGCCTCAGCCTCCCAAGTCACTGGGACCATAGGTGTGTGCCACAGCATCCAGCTCCTCTTTGTCATTTCTTTTTTTGTGTTCTTATTCTCATTTCTTTCTTGATTAGGTTAGTAATCCCCTCTCCCCTGCCACTACACACGTTTTAGTTTTTTTTTTTTCTTTTTTAAAAGCAGCATTTTGAAATACAGTTGTCCCTTGGTGTCCTTGAGGGTTAGTTCCAGGACCCCCTGCAGGTACCAAAATTCAAGTTTTTGTGTAAAAGGCTCAGTATTTGCCTGTAACCCAGGCAATCCTCTGTGCAGTTTGCATCTTCTCTAGGGGGCTTACTACACCTCATACAATGTAAATATTCTGTAAATAGCTGTTATACTGTATCATTTAGGAAATGACAAGAAAAGTAAGTTTGTTCATAGTTAATAGAGACAAAATTTTGGGAGGAGTATTTTCCATCTGAAGCTGGTGAGTCTGGGGTACTAGACATGTGGAGGGGCAGGGCTGACTGCCAGCTGTGGTATGTTTTGATTTGGGCTCATTAGTTTCTGCACAGATCCTCTGGTTCCTTCACCTTTTCCAGTTTTTCAAACTGGATGTTTAAATGTCTTCAGGAACTCCTTTCTGTTTGCAGGTTTAAATATTCAGACAATGCCCTTCCCTCTTGCCTCAGCTCCAGCTACAGCCCACAGACTCACACTGGCCTCTGGGTAGTCCTTCCTACAAAGGCTCCATTTGGTCTGGGCTCTTCCTTTCATGCTATGGGAGCTGCCTCACTCTGAAAGTGGATGTACAGGGGACAGGTGGACCCTTCTCTGCACGGACACTCACTCTGAAGGAATCTGCTGCAACCCTGGGGCAGAAAGACCAGTACAGAAGCGCTGAGATGCTTGCTTCATAAATATTTAATAACCTTACCAAAGCTCCTGGCTCTCCTGCTGCATCTCCTCTGCCCTCCTGGGAAGCCCCTAAGCCTCCCCTGGGAGACCCACCTATGGCCCCCGGCACCTGGCCTCACCTGGCTCTGAAGAGACTGCCAGGAGGAGCATAGGGACCCGGAAGGCTGCAGCTGGATTGAAGCAGGGCGTGCAACCATGAGGAAGCTTGGGGTGGTCTCTGTCCTCACAACACTAACAGGCCCACCAGAATGGCCACAAGGACACCAACAGTGACTTCCAGGATGGGGCAGAGAGCAGGGGTTGGCTGAGGAGGAATGGGTGTGATTTCTATGTTATACCGGATCCAGTTTGAGAAATAGGAGACCCGGGCATACACTCCAGGGAACAAGGGCTGGGAACATCCGCGGCCCCAGCTCACGATTCCAATCTGCAACCATGTGTGGTTGAATTCACAGACCAGCGGCCCCCCAGAGTCACCCTGCAAAGGAAGTGGGGTTTTCTGTTACCTGAGGGTCGAGGGCCTGCCTTTCAGGTGCAGGGAGGGTGGCCTCGCTCTCCACTCACATGGCCCCCTCCCTGGCGGCAACAGGCCCAGAGCCACAGTCTAGGCCTAAGGCAGGTACGAGGTATTCATGCACCATCATCAGCACACAGCCATCCCAGGGTCCCTGCCCAGCCCCAACTCCAATCCTTCCGGTGGGAGCATACCTCGCACACAGTCCTCACGTTAAAGAGGTCCCCAGCACACACCATGTCTGGCAGGATATAGGACGAGTGTCTGTACAGCACTGCACACAGAGCCTTGGAGACCAGCGGCAGCTGGACCTCCTGCAGCTCATCCGTGGTGTGACCTGTAGGGTTCGGAGAGGGGCAGCTGGGTGAGCTCCTGGTGGGCAGGAGGCAGGGACAGCAGAGCCTCAGCCCGCAAGGAACACAGCCCACCTGGGAGAAGACATGTGCTGGCTTCAGCGTGAGCTGCCCTTGTGCCTACCTTGCTGCGTGACCACTCCCCACCCAGTGGCCCAGCAAGAAAGGTTGGTGAGGTTCACATCAGGAGGTGCCAGGCAGACCGGAAGGACGGCATCGGAAAACACAATGCGGGTCTTCAGCTGCACCAGAGCCACATCAGCCCCCACAGGGTGGAACCTTTCGAAGTTGGGGTGCAGAATCACCTGGTTCACCTCAAACCACTGGGTGTGCTTGTTGGCCACCAGGAGGTTGACGATGCCCACGTACATGTCAAAGATCTGGATGCTCTTGTCCCTGGGGGCCAAAATGAAAGCCACTGCATGTAGCCCCCGCCATCAGCCTATAGATAGAACCAAGACTGGAAGGCAGTGCAGCCTGACCAGCAGAGATACCCACAACGGATGCCTGACTCAGATCCCAGACCATCAAGGGCCCCTGGCCAATAGCTCTACAAGCCAGACGCCCCCACATACAAACCCTCCCTTGCAGCAGGCTGGACAGTACACACTTCCCACAGCTGGCAGATGGCCAAAGGGGAGTCTTGTCCCTGTGCACCAGGCAGCTGCTGTGGATGTGACTGAGGCTCAAGGGACAGGGCCTTGCTCGGTTAGCATCAGCGAGCATGGCTGGGGTGGGGTCTCTAGCGTGGGCACCTCACTGAGGGTATGAGGTGGAGGGAGCTGCTGGTGTGGGGTGGGATGGTGCAAGTGGGGACCAGCCTCCCRGAGCAGTCGGGGCCTCAGTGCAGAGAAAGGTTCTGCTCAACGAGGTGGACGCAACACCGTCGTGGACACGCTGTGCTCCTGCCTCCCGGCGCCCTCACCTGCCGAAGCAGTGCGCGGCCGACAGCACCCAGTACTCGTTGAGGATGGAGCCCCCGCACACGTGGAAGCCGGCATACTGCACGCTGACCTGCCATGGCCACTTCTCTGGGGGCGCGGACACACCGCCCAGGATCTTGCCCTGCACCGCGCGCCGGCCACAGGCTGGGGAGAGACAGGCAGAGTGGGCGCGCGGCGGGGCAGCGCGAGGGGTCTGATGGCTGCCCGCGCCAGGGACGGGACCTACCCACAGCACTGCTCAGGGAGTCCCCCGAGCTCTTAAGGTGTTGGTGGGCCGCGGCGGTGGCCCGGGCCAGGGGCGTCTGCAGAAGCACCAGCAGCAGGAACCCCAGGGCAGCGCGTCGGGATGCGCCCAGGCCGGATGCGGGGGCGGCCATGGAGGAGCCTGCGCAGCAGGTGAATACGTAGTTGCAGGTGACAGCGCCCCCAGCCGGTGAGGGCGCGCGAGCCGGACACGTGACAGCGCCTGAGCCCTGGATACCCGATGGCGCCCCCAGCAGGACATGCTCCCACCAATGACTGCAGCCCCAGCAGGACACGTGATGGCGCCCACTCTAGGCATGTGACAGAGCACCCAGCCCAACTCTTGTAGGTGTGGCATTCCATCCCATAGTCACACCTCATTCTTCCAGCTCTGAGAACTTCTTACCCAGTCTGGTATCTCCAGCTTTCTCCGTGGCCAACTCAATTTGGTTGAATCATTGTCTCTCACACTTGTGCCATACCCTGTGAAAACCTTTTATTTTTTTAATTGAGGCTTCATTTACACACAGTAAAATATACTCATCCCAGCTAGTTTTGACAAGTCTTGTTATCATCAAGATACAGGATTCCAAAGAATTACATAACAAAAATGAGAAAAATTAGGGCAATTCCAAACAAAATCCTGGCATGGTCTTTAAATGCACTCTACAAGCTGGTTTTAAAAGTTATAATTCATGTTGGGTGCAGTGGTGCAGGCCCGTAACCCCAGCAGTGACTGGGGTTGGTGAGGCAGGAGAATCTCAAGTTCAAAACCACCCTCAGCAACTTAGTGAGACCCTCTCTCAAGATAAAAAATGTATGAAAAATGAAAGGACTGGGGATGTGGATCAGTGGCTGAGTGCCCTTGGGTTCAATCCCTAGTATAAAAAAAATAATAATTCATGTGGAAGGGTAAAAATTTAAGAAGAATAAGGCAGATAAAATTTCCCTACAAGACACCAAATTTTATTATGATTCTTCAGTAATTAAAACATCAGGGGGGCATAGGCTGGGACAGATAATGGAATTGTCTTCATCAGTTCAAGTTGCTATGACAAAATACCAGAGACTGGAGGGGATGTCAACAACAGAAATTTATTCTGCATATTCTGGAGGCTAGAAGCCCAAGGTCGGGCATCCAGCATGGTCAGGGACTAGGGAGGGCCCTCATGGGCTGCAGACTACTGCCTGCTGTTGCTGACCTCACATGGTACAGACAGGGGGAGGGTTATGACTTAATCCCCTCCTCAAGACCCCACTTCTGGATACCATCACACAGGGAGTTAGGAATTCAACCTATGAATTTGGGGAAAACACAAATATTCAGTTTATTATAGGAATGAAACCCAGAATTAAATCCTGATAGATATGGAGCTTCGATATCTAATTGCAGTGGTGTGTTAATCCACTTTCCATCACTGCGACAGACTACCTGAGAAAATCAACTTTAAAAAGAAAAGATTCCTTTTGGATCATGGTTTCAGAGATTTCAATCTACGGTCACTTGGTCCTGTGGCTTGGGACCTTTGTCAAGGAAGCATCATGGCAGGGGACACATGGTGGAGCAGAGTTGCTCACATCATGATAGCTAGGAAGCAAAGAAAGAGAAAGGAAGGGGCCAAGGGCAAGCTAGTGCCTTCAAGGTCACATGTCCCCTAAAGTTCCTACCACTTCTGAAGAGTGCCACCAGCAGGAGAACAAGCCTTCCTTGGGGTCACTTCATATCCAGACCAAAACAATGACAAAACATAAAGCCATCTCCAGAAGCAGGAGACACTTATAATTCGGTAAGGACTCACCAGAACAGTGAGATCTGGGGAGCAAGGAGACAATGACCCGCCCCATCTGAGTGGGTGCTGCCCTTGCAGAAACGGCGGCAAAGGGGTCTGTCCTTTTGAGGCTACTGAAACAAAATAGGAGTCAGGACCCAGCAAGGGGTGAACTGTGGTCAACCACACCTGCTTCTGGCTGAAATAAAAAGGGATGCTCCCCAGAAATAAGGGTGAATCCTAGGTAAATCAGTCCTTTAATGGCCACAGCCCAACTCTGAATTAACTGGGTACTCAAACCTTGAACCTGGAAAATCTCAAGTTCTCAAGCCCTGAAGGCAACCGAAGGTAACTCCAAGTGGCTGGTGTGCCCATGCACCTGGAAAAAAGCCCAGTGAGCTCCTCTTAGGGCAATGAGAGCATTGTCCATGAGGCTAAGGATGTTTCACAGACCTCTTTTCCAGCACACAAGCAAAGATGGCCAGAAAGAAGCACGAGATGTGCACCATGACAGAGAACCAGCAGGAAAACAGACACAAAAAATCCCAATGCCTGGATCACCAGCCAGAAAACATGAAAGAAGGACACTGACTATGAGTAGGCTCAAGGGGGTCAAAGGCTTGTCGACTGTTTGCAATGACTGGAAGCTGTAAATTTGACCAAGGAGAATGTGAAAAGAATCATCATAGAAATTATAGAAATGATGGGCTGGGGATGTGGCTCAAGCGGTAGCGCGCTCGCCTGGCATGCGTGCGGCCCGGGTTCGATCCTCAGCACCACATACCAACAAAGATGTTGTGTCCGCGGAGAACTTAAAAATAAATATCAAAAATTATCTCTCTCTCTCTCTCCTCTCTCACTCTCTCTTTAAAAAAAAAAGAAATTATAGAAATGAAAAGCCCAAAAACCAAAATTCAGAAACCACTGAATGGTTTTAACAACAGTTGAGGCCCAGATGAAGAGAATCCATGAACTAGAATGTGAGTCAGAAGAAAAGACCCCCTATGGGAAGGAAAAGAGATGCTCAGAAAAGAAATGTGGACGTACTATGCTGGGACGCACTTTTAAGAAAGAAAGTGCTGCTTTTATTTTGATTTTTTAAAAATAAAACAATAAAGCCAAGTTGTATTAATAGGACCAGAATGACCTTCCACCTGAAACAACTCCCACCCAAAATTTAATACCGGAAGCTGGTGTTTAAGACCAAACATCAAGCAGTGAATGCTGGATCCCAGAGAGACAGGGAAGGAGTGGAAGTGGCCACCACTGAGCAACTCCCAGGACACAGCACAGCAGGACACAGCTCCAGGGCAGTCGGGGGAGGCTGACAGAAGACAGGGGATAGCAGGACGGCCATGGTGGTCAGGTTCTCAGGAGAGGGCACCAGGCACAAGAGAAGGACAGAGAGAACCCTGGAGGACCGGAGAGGGCACCTTTGTGTTCTCAGCCTAGAGTTTGTCACATAAGCATGTGACAAAACCACCCAAGGATGAAGAGAAAACCCCAGGAGAATGAAGTGGAAAGCCACCCGGTACTCACAACAGGTGTGAGAGTCCTATTCACAACAGGCAGGTGGGAAAGGTTCCATGCCCACAGGACAGTGGCAGGTGTACCCGACACTCTCAGTGATGAGAACTAGTCGTCACTAGACCAGACCACACCCACACCATCTAGGAAACCACAGAAGCAAGACCTGAAAAGACTTAACCGGAGTCAAGCCACACAAATGAATTCAGATTAAATTCAGGAAGATCTGTAGGAATTAAAAAATATATATATACAGCACCCAGAGAGGTAAAATTCACAATGCCTGGCATGGGTTCAAAGAAACTAGACAGGTAAAGAAGCAAAAGCTCCCATCCCCAAACAAGGACAAATCACCTGCAACTGACTTCATTGTCAAAATGAGCAAACAAGGACATTAAAACATATCATGGCTGTATTCCATGAAAATAAGAAGTCACGCAGAAGCCTAAAAGACACTAAGAAGCACAACCAAACTTAGAAATGAATCCACAATCCTGAGGCTCACCCAAAGTCTTACAGAAAGCCTGAGAGGAAGGAGTATTGCATATTATAGGTGCCAAGAGTGGGGCCGGAGGACCCTCTGGAGAAGGTCAGTGGTGGGTTATATAGCATAAGTGCTATGATCAGTGGGCTGGAGGGCAGAAATAGAGACCTTCTAAAGGACACACAAAGAGAATCACTTTCCAACAGTTTAGAGAATGGTGTCTGTTAGTCAGCTTTCTGTCTCGTGGCAAAGCCTGGGACGATCAGGCTTGGGATGCAGGTCTGGGAGACTCTTTCCTTAGCATGTGGGGGGCATGGGTTCAATCCCCCACAACATGGCAGGGGATGGTCCTAATAAAATCAACTTAAAGAAGGAACGATTTATTTGGGGTCATGGTTTCAGAGGTCTCCGTTGGTGCCTCCCTTGCTCTGGCCTCAGGTGAGGCAGGACAACATGGCACAAGGGCTTGGTGGAGGACAGCAGTCAGCTCATGGCTGCCAGGAAGCAGCAACAGGAGAGGGAGCTCAGAATAAGATGAACCTTCCAGGACATGCCCAGGGGCCACCTCCTCCAGCAGGCCTTGCCTCTCTAGGTGTCCACCACCTCCCCAGAGCACCACCAGTGGGGACCAGTCTTCAACACACAGACCTTGGGGGACAGTCCAGATCCAAACGAAACCAATCAGAAAATGAGTAAGATATAGTAAAAAAGAAACATGAGGACTGGGGATGTGGCTTGGTGGTTAGATACCCCTGAGTTCAATCCCCAGTACAAAAAAATATGAAATTAAACAAAAAAAGCAGACCCAGGCAATAATAAATGTCAGAGAAGAAAATAAAATAGGAAATAAATATATAAATAGTTGGCAAAAAAAAAAAAACCCACAAAGAAACAAGAGCTGTTTTTTGTTGTTGTTGTTGTTGTTTTTTTAAATCACTAACATTGAGAAACCTCCCAGCAGAATGGGCAGGAGCTGCAGTTGAGGTCCACGCTGCCAGCATAGGAGGGAGTGGGACGTGGCCAACATCCAGCTGACAAGCAATGGAGGGAAGGCGACATTTGGAGCATGTTGTTTGGTGTTACGTTTTTGGAACTGGGGATTAAACGCAGGGCTTTGAGAATGTGAGGCAAGCATGGAGCTACATCCCAGTCCCTGGAGCACGTTTCTGCCACCCAGGTGAAGTGGGCAAAGTCCTGAAAGTGGAGCTCCCACAGGGCCCTGAAGAGCAGACATCTGAGGCATCTGTCAGCCATAATGAGGACGTTCTGTGGTGAGCACGTGGTGCAGAAGGGCCCCGAGGAGCATGCCACCGAACATGGGGCAAGTCAGACGAGGCTCACCCAAAGTCTTACA